TTGCAACATTGGCTGGAAAACACAGCGGATCAGAGGAGGGCTCTGAAATCAGAAAGCCTGAATTTACAAACAGTCATTCCCTCTGAGCCTGCGTTTCTATAGGATGGAGGCAATGCCAGTGCCCAGGCTAACAATAGAAAGTATGAAGCCTTAACGTGTAAGTGCTCAACAGGTGACCGCTATTGCTGTTTTCAACCACTCATGCAGGTGGTAGATATCTGCACAGAGTAGACTGCATCCTATTAAGACCTCTCTTTTTCTGGACCCAACATCTCCAGTTCCTCACACTGAACTCTGTGCTCATAGAGACCAGTCCTTTCCCTCCAATCACATTCCACAGAAGGCTTTCCAGGTTGCGATTCCCCCTTACAGTGTAACACTGAGCTGGGAGACACTAGAGTCTGACCAGCATAATGTGTGTGTGTACCATCACCTCCCTGTATTCCAAATGCTGTCCTTCAATGATGCAACCTGAAGTAGCATCAGGTTTTGGTATTAACAACCATAACCATAGTTCATTGAGCACTTACTATATGTGCCAGGGACTATGCTAAGCATAATAGATACACAGACTCACTGAATCTACACAGCAACTCTAGGGTCAGAAATTATTACTTTCACTTTGCAGGTGAGGAAACAGATGCTTAGAGATGTTGTAAGTGGAAGGTCAGCACAGCTAAGATATGGGGGAGCTGAGATTCCATCTCTAGTTATCTTAATGCGGAGCCACAATCTCAACCTCCGCCCCATACTTCCTCCCACGGACATTAAGAACTGACTCAATTCAAATCTTAGGTCTGTTCTTTTCTTCGTGGGATTTTAACAAACAAAGTCTTCCCAATCCTGCTGCCGTTCAGCTGTATCCCCACTCAGTTTGATTGCATCAAACTTAATCCCATTCAGCTTCAAGTCACTGGCAAATGCAATTTGGCAAGTCGCTGTTGAGGAGGAGGAGGAGAGCAAGGCCAAGGGCAGAGCTCTCTGACAGCCATTAGAGAAATTTTTCTCAAGTAGTCATTTCCTAATGGGGGCTATGCCTGACCTGCCACCCTTCCACCAAACTGAGTTAACATCCAACATCCCTTTCTCTATCTCACTGACAATTACTTCTTAAAACACCATAAAGTGTTTATGGTCAATATCTACAGCTAAGATCCATCCCGAGGAAGGTTGCCTAGGAAGAACTGTGGATGGAAGGCAAGAGGGTATGAGACAAAAAAAGATGGTCTTGAGTGTTAAAATTTTTTTTCAGGAGGAAATCCTACCTTTCCTTCCAGAAGACACTTAAATTGAGGAGCTATGTAGTTTGAGGACAAAAGATGAACAGAACGCCAACCATCAGTCTTCCCTGGGATCCACACACATCTATCTAACCCCATCCCAACCCTGGTATCACACAAGGACAGGATTCAGGGGAGCCACTGGCACTTGTGAGCAAATCATCTTTTCTTGCCTTTCTCTCCATCGGCTGGAAGCAGGCACTGTTGTACCTTATGCTTTGGTACTAACCCTGAGGGAAGACTGACCATGTCATTTCAGCCTTTTCTGTTAGAGAAGAATGGAGCCCACAGCCTGTCTCAAGAGCACAGTCTGCTAGTCTCACAGAACTGTGAGTCCACTTGATATTAATCCATTCATCAACTCCATCACTAGTCCCACTGAGGGGTGACATATACCTGTGGAGACAAAGACCCTTTGCCTCAAATATAAACAGAGGAGAGCTTGGCATGCCAAGTGCCCTGGCCAGAAGCTCCCAGGCCCTGCTAGGACACTGCTGTGAGGCCCTGCAGAGCCAGCAGGGCATTCTGGGTAATGGAATGCAACATGATGCAGTTCCCCCACCACAGGCCTCCTCGGGGTGTCTTCACTTCTGGCTCTGCAAGCGCTGAGGCGAGCAGTTTCTGGACTGGGGGGAAAGGGTGGAGAGAAGGGGTGGAGGCTTCCTCTAGGCCAACCACAACTAACTCATTCACTCTGTCCAGCAAAATTTAGACGGTGCAATTATCGAGTTAATTTGGCCCTTAGTTGGGAGACAGACTTCCAAAATGGGGAAGGCCAGCTCAGACTAAACAGTGGCTTCTCCCAAGCGCTAGAGGATGCATATGAGATTCCTGGAGGTTGCTGATGTGACCCACCCATTGATCCAAATGGGAGATCCAGATGGGAAAATGACAGACAATTCAGACTCTAAGATGGGGTTGAGGACGGCATGTTTTCCATGGGAAAAAATATCCAAATGACCTGCTAATTGGTCTCCTGGCTAATTTGCCTTCTGGCTTCCATGGAGGGGGATGGCTGGAAATGAGGCGGACTCTAAGTTAGTCAATGTTTTCCAGTGGGGTGGTAGCCCTCTTATACTGCTGAGCGTCCCCAGAGGTATTCTTAGGGCAATTCCTTCGGATGCTCCTGGTCATAGGTTTCATACCCATAAGCTGGGCGAGGGGAGGCACTAACATAAGAATAAAATTAAAATGTGCCTCTGAGGTTTTCACAAATGGGATCAGATAAGGATAGCGAGGCTGGCAACCGAGCAGTTAACAGATGGTTGATGGAAGACTCCGACTTTTGAAGGGAGATTAAGGAGCAGTGATTTATCTCCTTTGGAAACTGACAGCCTGGAATCTGTGGAACCTACAGTGATTCAGCCAGTGGATATCTGCTTCAGTCCTAGTGTGTACCAGGCCCTGTGCTACTTGAGAATGAGATCCAAACAGCCAGGGTCCCTGCCCTCATGCAAGTCATCCCGTATCTGCATACGTGGTTAGACACTCCGATAAGGGCCAGAAAGGAAATGATGGGAACAACCAAGTTACCTGATAGAAATCAGGGTGTGAGGGCTTAGAGGAGGAGTCTCTGAAGACGGGATTTTAATGTTAACACTTCTAAGAATCTAACTTGCTTTTTAAGAAATATCCCTCTGGCTTTAGTACAAAATATAAATTGGAAGTGGTTAAAAAGATGGAGTTAAGAACAGGAAGATTGGATGAAAGCAGATGATGGTTCAGCCAAGAATTTGGTCAGTGCTGAGGGAGAGAAGGGAACAGTCTAGAGTAGGGGTGTCGAACTCAATCAGAGAAGGGGCCAAAATCTAAAATCCAGCCTAAATCGCGGGTCGAATGGTTTACTGAACAGTCATAAACTGTCATTGTGATGGAAACGCAGCGGAGTGCAGTGATGACAGCGTGGTGCGGGCCACATTGCAAGGCCTGGCGGGACGGATTTGGCCCGCGGGCCTTGTGTTTGACACATGTGGTCTAGAGAGATAGGGGCTGCACAGTTAACAGGATCTGGTCATTGCATGGGAGGGAGGGATCCAGAGAGCATAGGTTTCAGGCTAAGGTGGAAGGTAGACCTGGCTCTCTTCACTGAGAGAGGAAACTTGGGATGATGAGTAGGTTAAGATTGGAGAACATCATGCATCCTGTTTTGGAGTCAACCAAACTGGATTCCCCACCATTGCACACCCTTCCCTCTGGCCTTCTTAACTTTGCTCACATCGCTTCCATCTCAGACGCTCCTCACGTTGCCACCACTTTTGACAGCATATCCATCCTTCAAGACCCATTGCAAATAGCACCCTCCCCTTGAGGCTAGTCCCAACTCCCTCAGCTCAGGAGGCCTCTGCTGCCCACAGTGCTAAGTCTGGACCTCTCTTTCCTGGATCCCACCTGTGCGGAGGCTCTGGGAAGGCTTACCTTGCCTCCTTTTCTAGACCACAAGCTTTCTGGGACAGAACCTCTGCTTCTCTCTCCTTGCTCCCCACATTAGCTAGTAGCAGAGTTGACATTCTACAAATATTTGTGAAGTGACCAAAATAGCCTGCTCTTTGCCATGGGAGGAAAACCAGTGGACACTGGACAGACTTGAAAGCCACGGGATCAAATTGAAATGCAAGTTGTCGGTGTTTTAATACTGAGCCAACTCAAATGAGATGCTCAGAGAGGCTTTCTGTTCCTCCAGCGCATCAAACTCGGAGTGTTGAAAAAGTCACACCCCTCTCTTCTATTTATTGCACCTTTCCGAGTTGATTCCATAGCAGGGACCTTTTCTATATTATTAACTGTTGGCCTTTGGTGGTGATGGTGATGATGATGATGATGATGATGATGATGATAAAAGGGTGGCATGTATTGTGTTGGGATGTGCCAGGCACTGTTCTAAGTACTTTCCATGGACTAACTCATTTGATTCTCACAGCCACCCTGTAAGTTGATGCTATCATTACCCAATTGTACACATGAAGACACTGAGATGTAGATAGCTTAGGCCACAGTTAGTTGGGATTTGAACCCAGAATCTGGCCCCAGAGCCCATGCTCTGACATGCTAAAGCCAAGTGCAATTAGGCTCGAGTCCTAAGTTGGCCACTGACTCCCTATGTAGCCCTAAGCAAGTCTGTGTTTCTTTCCCCACAAAATGAGGGAACTGAGTGTTGATATTCTTGCTAATTCTAAGAGCCAGTATTCAGGATTCTAATTTCCTTTAAAGCTTTAAATAATTTAATCCCAATAGTGATACAAAAATAAAATAAAAATAAAATAAAATGATACAAAAACATTAAGTCACGTGCCCAATACTCAGAAAATGAGGGAGCCAGGATTCAAAACAATAGTGCTCCCAGCCCAAGCAGCTCCATGCATTGAGACCATGGCAGGGATATGGGGAAGTGGAATAATGGAGCGGATGGGCCTTTGGGCTCCCCACGCCTATTTCTATCAGAGAAGCTCTACTTGTCTCTATTTTGTAGAATGGGCTCCTACTTAAGATATCCTTAGAATCGGGGAGGTTCTCCTGCTAAAAAATTAAAAAAAAGGTTGAAAACCACTGGGCTAAATAATTCTGGAATTTAATGAGACCCCTAGGTATAAGCCAGGATTTTTCTGGTAACCTTGGTTCATTATAGCCACACAAGCTTGGGGTCTACTTGGGGTTGCTCCTGGGAATGGCTCCAGCTGTAGAAAAGGTCAGCATGACAGTGATAAGGACTCCACTCCAACCTACCTGCTCCACTCGGATCTCAATCTCTCCGTTCACCTTCTTCCCTTGGAAATACTTGGCCCTGTGAAGGAAAGAAAGGCATTTCTGAGTAAGAATGCAGGCTACTTTACCCTTTCCTCGCTTCTCCCAAAGGCCTTACTGCCCCCAGAGGTGGGTATCCAGGCACATTCTCTACCAACGAGCTCTGACATGAATACTGATTTCCTCAGTATTTATGCGTATTATGCGAGAGACAGGGAAGAGTACTGATGGGAGAGCTGGAGACTCAGGTTCTCGTGCTGCCAAGGTACTTGGCCTTCCTGAGACTCTGTTTTATCCTAACGGGAAGAAATGAGTGCCTGTATGCTGTACTTCTAAGGGCTATTTTAAGGATCAAATGAGATAAACAAATAAATCCTACATAAACAAATAGTGCAGAATTATTTTATTGAGTTATACCCTATGTAGTTCATAAAGGACTTGTTAAATTGATCTCTCCATTTACTTACTTCTCAATTTGTCCATGTGTCCAGTGAAGTGGACTTTATCTGCTCCTTTGCCCATCCCTCCATCTATCCATCCACCCATCATCCATAGGCCCATCATCCATCATTCCATCCATCCTTCCATCATATTCCCTCCAGACCCCTGTGTCTATCTTCCCGTTACCAGTAGACAGCATCCCATCTACTCATTACTCAAGGCAGAAGCACAGACATCATTCTTCTTACCTCTTTCTCTCTCCCTACCCCACTCATTCGATATTTCAATTATCTCTCAATCCACCTACTTTTCTCTAAAAACATCCTAGACTGGGCCTCCTTCACCTCTCTTCTCATATGGATTCTCTTGTCATCCTCTACTTTTCTTTCATAACACATAATACAAGTATAATTACGTAACCGTGTTTAATATCTGTGCCCCCTGCACGATAAGGCAGTTCTTTGAGGTCAGGTACAAGCTACCTTAATTCATCATTCCATTCCCATCACCTAACAGACTGCTTCACATATAGCAGAAGCTCCATTACCATTTGTTGAATGAGCAAATAAATGAAGAAATAGATTTAAACACACACACACACACACACACACAAAACCCACAAAACACACACACACACACACACACACACACAAAAAAAAAAAAAAAACCACTTGTTTTCTCTGCAACAGGCTGTAACCTGTGATCTTTCTCATTGAATGCTTATAACCACCACCGTATTATTTCCTATAGACAAGGACACTGAAACCCAGAGAAATGAAATGCTATGCCTACATAGCTTGAGTGCTGGCCTTCGAATTCCACACCTATGTTTTTGCTTGACCCTGAAAAATACCAATGAATGTTGGGATGCTCCTGGGTTAGATGTCTTCCCACAGAGCAAAAGTAACAGACATTTCCATCTGCTCTTTTTATTGTTGTTGCTAATCCTCACCTGAGGATATTTTTCCATTGATTTTAGAGAGAGTGGAAGAGAGGGAAAAATAAAAACATCGATATGAGAGAGATACATCCACTGATTGCCTCCCTGACATATTCTGACCAGGGCCAGGAATCAAGCCTGCAACCAAGGTACATGTCCTTTTTAAAAATATATATTTTTTTATTGATTTCAAAGAGGAAGGGAGAGGGAGAGAGAGGTAGACACATCAATGATGAGAAAGAATCTTTGATTGGCTGCCTCCTGCACACCCCACTCTGGGGATCGAGCCCCCAACCCAGGCATGTGCCCTTGACAGGAATTGAACCTGGGACCCTTCAGTCCTCAGGCTGATGCTCCATCCACTGAATCAAACCAGCTAGGTCAAGGTACATGTCCTGATTGAAATTAAACCTTGGACCCTTCAGTTCGTGGACTGATGCTCTATTCACTGAGCCAACTGGCTAGGACACCCATTTCCTCTTTTCAAAATTGTTGACAAAATGAATAGTTCTTAGTTACTTGCTGCAATCTCACCATGTTAAGCATTTCCATAAATCTTTTCTGGGGCAGAGACAGCTCTTTGATCCCAACCCATTTTCTTCTTTTACACAGTGAGAGAATTTATAGATTGGCACGCAAAAAAAATGTGTATCCTAACTCCCCATTCAGCTAGGTATGGCCACGAGATTGAGCTCTCATCAATAATTTGCAATGATTACATTCAAGAATCTACTTAGTTTCTTCTTCCATTCTTTCTCCTGGAACATCAATGCTGCCATCTATTCTTCTCATCCTTTCATTTGTGAAGGAAAATAATGCTTTGGACATAGACATCATTCTTCTTACCAGACTTCAGTCTGCCTGCTTCCAAAGTCCACCTACACTTCGCTGATGCTATGGAGTTCATCTCTTTCCAACACGGCCTGCATCTCTCATGGACAGCGCTGCTATAGCCTCACTTTTCCTTATCATGTTCACAGGCTCGGATGTCACCGAGGCAGGAGTTTAGTGGGAAAAGGAGCAAGATTTTGTTTTTCTCTCTCCCAGGCTGGTCTTATATAAAATGTGTGTAAAGCCAGCCTCATGCAAAGGGAACCTTTCCCCCTAATTTGTGGATTTTATCACAAATTCTAAGACCGTGTTGGCAAACTCCAGGCACTGGGATAAGCCCATCTCTGATGTTTTGTGGGGCCTGGGGCAAAAGAACAAATGGAGGGCTATAAGACCTCCATTAAGTCTATAAAACTGATATATAAAGCTAGCAAACATTTCAATAAAACATGTCGATCTGGCCTTCCTTCCATAACAAATACAGTTGCGTCATTTCCTGGAAGAGTCAGAACTGAAACTTCTCAGAATTCAGTGCTGCGGACGCTGGGGCTGATTGTGTGGGATGGAGGGCAGCCCAGGCCACACGACCAAGCTTTATCCCCTCACCCACATCCCCATCCACAGTTGTGCCTTGGCCATGCCTTGGAGGATGAACCAGAGAAGTGGCCTCCCCAGGCCCTGGAATTGGGCCTGGTCCCTTTAGGTGGGACACTCTAGATTGCACGCCCTAAGGGTGCCATTGGCAGGGCCCTTCTTTGCTGTCAGGAGCGGTATAGCCGGTAAGGGCCACAGCAGGGCTTAGATCACTGGGCGAGTCTTGGACATGGGAGTGGTTACCAATGAATGCAATCACTGGAATACTGAAAAGAGCATGGATTTGGAATCATACAGGCTTCAGCAGAAGCTCAGCTCTGCTATCCACACTCATCACAGACTTAACCCAACTAGGTCCTAATTTCCATGTTTGTCAAGTGGTGATTCCATCTACCAGTCAAGGTTGTGGTGAAAAAGTCACTTGGTCTTTTCTGTAACAAGGTAGAGTGTCCCAGGCTCCAGGCTGGACCACCTGGCGGCAATCCCAGCTCAATCATTCCCTTGCTCTATGACTTCTGGGACATGGGAATAATCATAGTAGCTATTACACAGGCTTGCTGTGAGGATTAAACAGGACAAGACTTATAAAGCACTTTAAACAGCTCCTGGCACATAGTAAGCTCCAAAGTCTACAGCCCAGGGCCCAAAACATAATCAACAAAAACAACAGAGTCCAGCTGGTATGGCTCAGTGGTTGAGTGTAGACCCAGGAACCAGGAGGCCACTGGTTTGAATCCCAGTCAGGGCATGTTTGATCCCCACTGGGGGTTAGGGGTGATCGGGAGAAGGCATGCAGAAGGCAGCCGATTGATGTTCTCATCAATGTTTCTCTCTCTCTGTCATTCTCTCTTCCTCTCTCTCTAAAAATCAATAAAAACATATATTTTTTTAAAAAACCACCATCAACATAGAACTACCGAGTGTCTATTCTGTGCCTGTGGGTGTCATGTGGTAGGGACCCACAAATAAATGAAATGCAGCCTTATGCTCACAGAGATTACAAGACAGAATCAGTAGTTGTCTCACTCTGATCTGTCCCATCGATGCAATAAGGGATGGATAATGATAATGACAATATATAAGTGGCATCAATAACTAAAGCCTCAAGCCTTTCGCATCCATCCTCCAATCTGACCCTAATGTCACCCCTGAAAAGTGTCATGCAGGGAGCAGTCTCCAAAAGTTCCATACAGAGAAGTCCCTACTCAGTCCCACAAAACCTCCTTATGAATTGCTCCTTATGCTTTCAAAGATCTTGGGGATCCAGACCTTGATTTGGGGGATTCAGTCCAGACCCAGTGGGTCCTCCATGAGCTGTACCCTGCTGATCTATGGCCTGTTTCTCCTTCACTTTTCTGCCCACCACACGGACACTCAACTTTCTGCAATTCCTTCAACACGTCCTCTGAGCCTCCCGCACGTGTGTTCCCTCTGCTTAGGATGGCCTCCTGCTCTTCTCTGAATGCTGCCTCTTTCTCACTCCATCAAGTTTTCCTTAAAAGCATCCCCCTAATGAGGCTGGTTTAGGTGTCACCTTTCTAGGCTCCCACAATGTGTTGTCCTTAACGATTACAGTAGGGATCTCCCTGTGTTGTAACTACCCATTGCTTGTCTGTCCCCTGCCCCCATACACCTAGTCTGCGAGAGCCTGGAAACCTGCAACTGTGTATCAGTGCTCACTGAATCTCAGCATCCAGCACAAAGGGCCCCGGGCCCAGGGCACGTGTTTAACAAATGTTTGCTGACTGGGTAAATGCATCAGGTCTTCCAGGGATAGGCCAAAGGCCTGTCCAGTCCTGGAGACATGCTACTGCCATCTACTGGTACACTGGTGTACTACACGTACACATCCACACCAAGTAGGATGTGGAGTCAGATTGTGCAGAGACAGGCACTGAATCTAACCTGGACCCCAGAGCACTTTGCTCCCCACCAGTACCACCCAGGTCGCTCTGGCCTTCCAAGCCCTCACCTTCCCGGGAGGAACACTCATCTTGCCCATCTCCGGGATGTTCACCGCAGGGCCTGGCAGACAGATGCAGGCTGCAGCGGAGGGTCAGGCAGTCCATCCCCCTGCCTGGCCGTGAGTCAGAAGTCTGTCTCCTGACGGGCCACACAGACTGCTGCCTCCTTGCCTGGGGGCTCATTCAGGGTTGGAGCTGCCTGAACAGCTCTGTCTGGCAGAGGGACGGGTAGGGATGGTCTGGAATTCTAGATGCCGTGGGGGCTGGGGT